CATTCTCTCCTCCCCCATATCATCTGATTTTACAAGTATGCTGTATCTTCCCTAACTGATCCACAGCTCTGGAACATTCTGTTCTGTGTTTTCACGTTTTCTCCGGATTCAGGTCTGGATGCTTTCTGAGACATTCCTTCAGGTTGATTGATTCTTTAATTGTTGGACATGTTTCTTAAATTAAAGAACCACCCAAAGTATTCTTCACATTTTTGATTTCTCTCTTAAGAATTTATAGGCTACCCCCACCTTTTCTATTTTTAGAAAGAAACTCTTACTGTTTTACTACTATGTAAAGCAGGCTGGACTTGAACTCATGGTGATCTTTCTATTTGGCCTTTCTTAGTGCTAGTAATATCCACGGAATTTGATCTATGTATACACAGCTATTTATTCTTCATGGTATCCTTCTGCTTACATTATTCTTGTCTGCTTTAAAAGATGGTCCATTTTTCCATCATAAGCTTTATCATATTAATCGCACCAATTTACATCCCTAGACCAATAACTCTAACACCTCTCTCCATCCTGAGCTGTACTTGCACTGTCTTTTTACCTATGTTCTCTTGTCTTTTGGACTGCCTTGTAATTTTGTAATGAGACCCAACATGACGTGCTGGATAAAAAGAAGTGATCTGAATAGGCCTTTAACAGCGTTTTATGGTTATCTGGCCAGGAACAGGGTTTGTGTACTCTAGCCAGAGCATTTCCCCTGTGGTTCTTTTCTCCCATATTCTGTCTTTCCCTGGAGATTCTTCTGAATTGTAAGATTTTTCAGTTTCATTCCCTTCTGATTCTACAGGTAGTGCATTCTGCTATACTGTGTAAGAAAGAAGGGTTAATCTCATGATTAAATCTAAATCTTTAAACCTGGGGTCTTGACCATTATAACTACATCTCTGTTTTGTTTATTTTTGTCTTATTGTATGTTTATTAAAACACACACACACACACACCACTTTAGCACAATTAGGAAGAAGTTTAATATGAAAAAAAGAGAGAAGCAACAGGAATTTACAAATTTGCAATGTGGCTATGCAGCATGTGGGGAAGGTCTTGTAGGACAGATAATCCATCTTGGGGACATGAACACCGGGATGGGCATATTGAATAAATCCTTTTAAAGATGTGGTAGTGTATGAGAGGGGCCAGGGTAAGACTACTCCTGCTTTAGGGTCATCTCTTGGTCTCTCAGAAGTTCTCCTACATTTCATTTGCATTTTAAATAGTATATGATAACTTAAAGCTTATTTCCCAACACTAAAGGACATTTGCTTGGAGTATGTTCAGCCTCTGCAGTCCAGGGTACCCTTCCTAGGAGTGCAAGCTGTTTGTAATCTCAGCTGGAGATTACAGCTGCCTTATTTAAATAGACCAGGGCTCCATCAAGACATTGCTCTACTTTCCAGTTTCTTTGGGGGTGGGGGAGCAGAGGTTCAGGTAAGCTACCATTTTGTTTTCCTTGAATCTATTCAAGTCATGACAACAGCCTTGACCTCAGACAGGTCCTTCTCAGCTGGGTTCCATTCTCATTCTCAGAAGGTAACTGCAGAGGAGTAATAGATTTTGCTTATCCATGAAAGAGAAAGAATAAGTGCAGAGGACTCACGCTGAGTGTACGTATTAGAGGGATAGCGCTTAGTGGGAGGGTATGCAGGGTAGGGCATGCCAAAGGGGGCTCCATCCCTCAGTCTCTAGATATGAGCCAAGGTGAAGTACACTGGCTCACATAAACATACAAACAGACACACACACACACACACAGAGAGAGAGAGAGAGAGAGAGAGAGAGAGAGAGAGAGAGGGTATTGGCTCTCTGGGGAAGCTAGCTTGGAGGCTTTAAAGAGAATTATAGGTGGACAGCTTTTAATATGTTTTCTTCAGCCCCGAGGATTGAACTTACAGCCTTCTACATGCTAAGCAAGCAAGCTCTCTACTGTAATGCCTCAAGCCCAGGGGCACAATATATTTTTTTAAAAAAGGCTCAATCCCCACTCCACAGCAATAAAAAGCATTATTCTTGATGAAGAATACAGAACTGAGAAAGATTTGAATATACCAGAAAACGAAAATAGCAAGGAGAGGTGTTTAATATTTTTAATCATTATTCATATTTTCAGGCTCTGTGCTAAGTGTTTCACAAGCAGTATTCCCTACTGATACCACCACAACCTTATTTTAATGGGCAAAAAGGAATCGTCATTCCCAGAAGTCTGACTCGGGTTTGAACCTAGGTCTCACTTTGGTAGCTGAATTCTTAATGACCCAACTGATGGGCCCAGATTAACCTTAATGATGACCATCTTAAGATGATGGCCTTTATCTCCAAGTCAAAGTGGAAAGAACACTGTCAATGGGCCTTGTCTTGAGAAATGAGTCTCAAAAAGAGATTCAAAGTCTCACCTGTAATGCCAGGTTCTGGGAAAGGGCAGAGTAGTTGGTAGTGGGTACAGTTCATAGACATATTTACCTAAGAGTCTAGGTCGACTTGCCCTTCAGTTGTGAAGCCATTTCCCCAGACTTTGCAAAGCCACACATGAGCCAATTCCTCTGTCTCTAAAAAGGGACCTGTCAGTAGGTGATAGATGCTTAAATAAGACAGATACATATTCCACTCTTTGATTTTACCCCAGCAACATTTCCAGTTCAGTAGAAGAATAAGAATAGAAATAGGAGGAGGAATTGGAAGAGGAGGAAGAGGAGGAGGAGGAGGAGGAGGAGGCAGAAGTGATGGTGGTGGTAGAGAACAAGGAGGAGAAGGAAGAAGAAAGAAGAAGAGGAGGAGGAAACAAATAAATCACCGAGCAGACATACAGTAGAGACCTCAATTGAGTCTTAGGAAACACACCTGCTCCAAAAATTGAAAAATCTGATTTTAAGGAAAATATAATTTAGCCTAAAAAAAAATTGAAAAACTTGATTTTAAGGAAAATATAATTTAGCCTAAAAGAAAAACACTGTCACCCTACCCACATTTAGACTCAGTTCATTTTCAGAGGGCACAGAACTGTCATCATATTTTTATTATTATCACTCAACCGTGAGGAATAGAAACATTTTAGAAAAATGTGTATGTGAGTGTGTGTGTGTGTGTGTGTATCAGTAAGCATATATGTAAAGAATGTTGGTACACACTTGCTTGCCACAGTATACATGTGGAGACCAGAGAACAAATTTTGAAAATTAGTTCTCTCCTTCCGCTCTGCTTTGAGGCCAGGTCTCACTTGCCTGTCATTCTAGACTAGGTGACCCACGAATGCTAAATCAGTTCTCTTGTCTCTGCCTCCCATCTTGCAGCATGGGGACTGGGGTTACAGATGCATGCCAGCGTATCTTGCTTTCTGTGTGTGAACTGGGATCCAACTCAGGTTATCAGGCTCACACGGCATGCGCTTTTAGACTGCGTCATCTCCCTGGCCCTGCTTAGTAAGTCTAAGATTATTTATGGTATGCTGCCTGGAACACAATTTTGATTATCAACAAATCAATGATAAGGTGAAGAAGAGGAATGGGGAACCTAAAAAGGTCCCTCAGAAGCTACTATATCCTACTATCCTAAGGATGACATCTGAGTGACTCCGTCTCTGCTTTCAATCAGGGAACACTAGTGATAAGCTTGCAAAGTACTCAGAATGTGTCCTTCTGATAGCTGGCTTTGTTCAACTCCCACTGCACCCTATCCACAACTCTACCGGTATCAAGATCACTCTAAGCTGAAGGGCATAGAGTCAGTCACTCACATCTCAAATTTTAATTTAGCTTGTCTAACCTTGAACCAGAAGCATAGTCACCCATCACAGCTGTTCCAATTAAGCTAGCAAAAGTGAAGGCTCGATGACAAAATCAGAACCTGGGCACTGCAACATGTACACAGTATCTGGTACTTCTTGTTTGCAACCTCTACCCCAGGATGGCCTGTACAAAGGAATGCTTGTTCAATTTAGTTTCCTCACTCAAACCAGAAAGCTGAGGCTTTATTTGTCAGGTCTAGTTCTCTCTTTGAAAAATATCCAAGTACAGAAGTATTAACCAACTTAGTCAAAAACACACAGCTCTTGGGTAATAGACCTGTACTCTGTTCTGTCTCAGAGCCAGATCTGTCTGATTTTTTCACCAGTAGTGTACAGAGTCTGGCCATAGCCAGCATCTTTAACAATACCTGGAAGTTCTAAGTCAAGCTCTCGGGACTCTCTGAGACCCACAGAGTCAGAAGTTCTGAGAATAAAGTCAGCCACTTGTGTTCTCTATAGTTAAGTTGTTACCAGGGTACACTGAGTTCTTGTACACAATAGCCCAAAGTCTCTGATCTTGCAGCAATGACAGTTGAACAAGTCTACTTCATTTTGAAATCAAAGCAAAGTGGTTTTTAAAAGATTATGTTTGGGTTGGGGCATGACAAAGAACTTCTACCAGTTGGTGAGTAAGAGGTAGGAGATATATATGAGTCACAGTTAGAACAAAATAATTTTTTACCTTGTCAAGGTTCACCATTGGCAACTAAGAGAAATAGCAGGTGTCTACATTCTAAGGGACGAAATAACTGAAGCGTAGATTGTTTTCTATTTTAATAATTTTGTGTTATCAGTCGTTTGTTGTTCATGAATTTACCTACTGCTATCCCCTTTAAAGTGACCTCAGAAATAATGAAAACATGATTCATCAGTGAGATTACACACATACCCACACACACATACACACACACACACACACACACACACACACACACACCACCTTTCTGTAATCTGTGAGAGCTGAGTCATTGGTTTTCTGACTGATTCTGTTACCTTATCAATTTGGGAACTTTGCCTTTTGTTTCCAATTCTTTTTGCCTACCACAGATATGTGCTGACTTTGACAGGAGGACAGATGGATATTCTGCTGTATCTTTTGGACCTCCTAAGTTGATTATTTACAAACACTGATGACCGATGGCTTGATTCTTCCAGCTGACCATGTTGTACTAGCTTGTAAGAGCTTGTAAGAGAGGATTTGTTCAGAAAGGTAATTGAAACTAGCCTTTATTGCATTTCTACAATTCTATTTGCTTATGCTTTATAAATCACATAGAAAACAAATATACTATTAACAATTTAAAAACCAACAAAAGTGGCTGTTTCAAATATAAATAATGAACATTCTTTTGTAGGGAAATAATATTTTTGCAGCTGACTAGAATTCAAGATTTTCTAACACTAAACATTATTGTGGTGTATCACTGTATCAGAAACAAAAATAAAGATTTTAATGCAGGACAGACTCACTTTTATATATTTCTAAAAAACAATTACAATACAGAATTAATAAGTTAAGATAAATGACACATTCTTTGCCTCAAATGTAAATACCAAATGTAATGATTAGCATAGAGAACATGGAAGATACAAGACATAAGCAGATAAATTAGTTTGGATGGCATTAGTGATTCTTAACTTATATTTTAATATTCTGTTCATATACAGCTAAGAGCAAAAGAGAAAACCAGCCAAGGACCAATCCAACATTCTGCAGGAGAAACGTCATCCAGGGTCGTTGTGTCTGCACATGAGTCATTTCAGGAAGCTAAAAAAAGAACAAGAAACCAGAATAAGATCCAGATATATTCAACTGCCGAGAAAAGCTTTGTGGGAAAGCATGAGTGATTCTGTTATTTAGAACTTAATACCCTTCAGCATTCCCCAAATAGTCACTCAGTGTTTAGTACCTATTCTTGACTTGAGTTTGAAATGTAAGCTAACTGAAGCCACTTGCCGGTGGTGGGAAGGACTCTCGCATTGGCTGACATCTGAAAATGACACAGCTGTCAACAGAAGCCAGTTTTCCCTTTATTTTCAGGATTTGTTTAAATGTGAAATAGATAAGACATGAAAGGTACAGTTTTCAATTGTTCCATTAGGCTTATGAAACAACTAAACATATGAACTTTTGCAAAGCACTTGTGTTTATTTCCTGTCCAAGAGAAGACCAAGGTCCCCATGACATTTAGAACAACAAAGAAATCATTTCCTAGGACTGCGTTTTATTCTCAATGAGACAAGTGGATATAACTTCTTGTCTATCAAATGTCATAGCACCATTTGGAAAGAAAGGTGCATCTGGGATGCTATAGGGAAATATCCAGAGTTGTTGGACTATATATTAGTTCAAATTTCTCACCCTCACATGACCGTAGAGAATGTCGTGGCATGATTGTTTCCTTTGGAATGGGTAGAGACTCAGTGTGGCCTGGAGATCTAACTTAATGTTGGCATTACTGAGAGCCTGTTGGATGCTCACCTGTGTCTTTGGTTTTCACTAGATGGCAATTATACTAGATGTCATGGGTGTATCACCCCCTGTGATGACAATCAGAAATAGATAATGACTTTTTCTAGTGTCTTGGTGATAAGTTTATATCTAGATTATATTAAAGTTTATGTGTGTAGTACACAATATTTATTCTTAGGAGCTTAGGTTTGGTGCTATCCTTAAAGAATCAGCGATATGAACTGAACTTACCCAATATCTTTGAATGTCGATAATTTTAAACAATTTTTGATGGTTAGCTCTAATGATAGGCAACCTAATTATATTGCCATTATATGTCCATGGTCACTTAATGGATCACATCTTGAATAAACTCATTGCCAAGTGCTGAGCTAAGATTCCCTCTCTTCCTTAGTTTACAAATACGATAATGATCATTTGCTTGAATGTGGCTGGATTAACAGTATGCTGCAGCTACAGATGCACATTCCTGCCACCTCAGCACTTGGGAAGTAGAGCAAGAAGAATCAGAAGTTATCTTCAACTAGATGGAAATTTTAAGGCCAGCATGGGATACGTGAGACTCTGTCACAAAAACTGAAAGTCACCAAAAACTTAAACAATAGTCTAATTTTGGACTGTTCTTCTCAACCTATGCCTATAGAGCTGCTGTCTACTTACAGTGTCTAGCAAATGACAGACAGGAACATACCTGTTTGTAAGAGCTACAGAACCTCCACCAGTGAGAAAATTGTCAATCCTCTATTATATGCAGATGGCACCATGTTCAAGAAAATACCGCAGACACTTGATGCAGCACAAATAGTGACAACGTTCACATTGAATATACTTTTAGAACACTTAAGTGACAAAATCTGTTGTGCATTCTATTTGCTTTTCATATAACCTGATTTACACACCCTTCATTATTTTTCCTCTGTCTCCCTTAATCTGTGTCTCCTCATAATCCTGCAAGAGATTTAAAAAAGCTTAGTTTATAGCTTCAGTTATGTGGAAACAATGTCTCTGGGCAGATAATAGCTCATCCATAGCTATACAGATGTGATACTAGATCCAGGGCCAGTACCAAATCAGCTAACTCAGAGGCACGAAGGCTAACTCTAATTGAAATTCATCCTTGGCTGCTACGAAAATACCTTCCTACTTCATTATAAAAATGCAAAATCATTATGTTAAAAGGTGTTCATTACATAGAAAACGTTCATTCTATAAAAAGAAAATGATAAAAAAAAAAACACAGGACAGAACACAAATATGGCAGCGTCTTTGCCACAAAGACAGCATGGCGATAAAGTTCTACGTTTCCAAGACGTATAATGTGAATTAAAAATCTACAGAGACAGACTGCCTTATGTTGTAGATGTGAACAAACAATGAAAATCACATTTCAAAAGGTTTTCGAGATTTGTAACCGTATATGGAAGTTTTAATTTTAATATAGGGGACCTGTCTGAATGTCCCCCGTCCACTACTAAAAGGATTTGGTAACACAACGCAGCAAGTTTGCTCCTGAGACAACACTTGGTTCTTTCAGCAAGAGTCACAACGTCTCTTAGACGCAGATCAATATCCGAGAGAGTATTTTGGAGAGTCTCCTTAAGAGGGACAAATATAAAATGCCAAGGGTCAAGCCGTATGTAATTATCACTTCTCAGCACTCAGAATCCACTCATAGTCTTCCCCATTTCAGTCACCAGCTTTTCAAAGAAATAACGGGAATTAATTCTCAGTGGCATACATTTCTCCCTGTTTTGAAAATTCTTAACAAGAATTGAAATGCACTCTTGTCACCCCAAGGCTTTCATTAAGAAAAATCTCTTTCCAGTACACGCCAATAGAATATCAACCATTTTGATCATGCTTTGCTATATAACACAAAATAAGAGGAAGTGAAACTATGCATAGGGTATACTATCACTGAGGTATAGAGGCAGGGAAATAATTTTAGCAAAACCACTTTCCCAGAGATGTGTTGAGAAAAAAGGTTCTTTACAGTTCTGCTCGCAACATTGAAGCCTTGAAGTAGAAAAGCAATTTAACTCTTTCACTACCATGTTTGGGGTTTATTAAGTTGCTTGATTCAAATCAGCATCTTATACCTAAAGGATTTTAATTTTCTGGGAAAAATCATCTTTACCTAAAGCAGTTCTTCTTTTTATGATCTATTTGACAATATTTAGAATCATCATGAAGACATACCCCAGGAGCATGTTTATGAAGGTCTTTCCACAAAATTCTAACCAAGAAGACATAATATGTATGTGGCAACATCATCCCATGATCTGAGACCCAGAACTGAATAAAAAGGAGGAAGTGATCTGAGAACCAGCATTCATTTCTTTCTGCTTCCTCAACGCAAACACAAGGTCCCCCATATTTCTGCCACCATGTCTTCTCCATATTATCAAAATTCCTCATATAAAATTCCAAAAAAGCTAGAAAATCTGTAGAAAGCTGATAACATCTATACAACTCTAAAGTTAAATCAAGCAAGAATAAGTAATTAAACTGGATATTTAACACGCATTAGTATTGGAGAAGTCTCCCAACAAAGACACTTGTAGAAACTGATGAATTCTACCACATTATAATAGAATATAATTTTGAGTATCCTTCAAAAATATTCCATAACTGATCTGAAAGCCTTCTCCCTGAAGACTAGCTCTCAAAGTACCCAAGGATGCTATGCAAACTACCAAGGGAGAAAAGCTATAGACAGTTGTGCAAAGCTCTGAAGCCCACCAACCACAACACCGTGGCAAGATATCTTCGGGGTCAACCAATAACTATCTAATTGGATTTAAGTCTCACTCAATTGGAGGGAATTCATGACTGATACTAAAAACCTAACTGATTACCTGTGTCTGGAGGTCACAAACATACTGCTGCCTCTTTCCTAAACCATTATAATTTCTAACTGCATTCCAAATTTTTATTCTTATGCCCAGAGATAAGAGTACCTCTCATTCCTCATCAAAGAAACTTGGCTGTCACAGAAATCCACAACTAAGTGCTGACAACAATAGACAGTTTTAGGTGTATCAACCTCAGCTGATAAATCTACAATACAATTCTGACACTTAAGGCTCAGGGAACTTGTGATAGAGGGGGCAAAAAGACTGTAAGAGTCAGAGAACCGTGTTGTCTATTGAAACATAACGTTATCTACAAATGACTAGGAAAGTTTCACTAATGAAATATCAAGTTTGTGGTCACATAAACAAGACCACTTCACAATAATATCATTGAAATGTCAACACAGATGGGAGGAATCTCACAGGGCCCCATCCATAAATGAAGAGCTATAGATAAGATGGCTGCTGAGAGATGGAGAAGCAATCTTCTTGAGGGACAAGTCCCCTTACAGATTATTCAATTCCAAGTGGTCAGCCCTAAGTACATACACATATGAGCAACATTAAATAGACCCAGCAGGACGTCTGAGTATGTGTGTTTATGTGTTTATATGTGTATGTGTGTGTGTATGTTTATACCAATAATCAAAGAAAAGTTCACAAATTCATGAAGAAGACATGAGAAGAGTTTGATAAGGGAGTGAGAGAAATAGAAATTATGTAAACAAAATAAATACTTAGAATTTTTAAAATTTTAATTAAGAGAAAGTCCCACACAATTGAAAATGAAGGAAGACTACCAATGTAATTCTATGAAATCTTACAATAATTTGTAAGTGATGAAAAAGAAACAGATCGAACATATAGATCAATTTTTCTGATGAGCATATGTTCAAAATTCTCAACAAAATAGTTGCAAGTCCAGTTTTACAGCACATAAAATAAAAACCATGATCAATTTATTTTCATTCCAAGGATGCAAGGATGTTCCAACATATGCAATTCTAATAAACATAAGATAGCACCTAAATATATTTAGGGATAGAAATAATGTGATTATCTCAAATATATGCAGAAAAGACATGTGACAAAGTTCAATATCCCTGTATGATGAAGCCACAAAGATACTAAGAATATGTGCTGGTTCTTTGTTTGTTTGTTTATTGTTAACTTGACACACAAGCTAAATTCACTAAAGTCATCTAGGAAAAGTGAGGAATTGCCTCCATGAAAATGGGCTATAGGCAAGTCAGTCAGATATTTTCTTGATTTCTGGGTAGCTGGTCCTGGATTATATAAAGAAGCAAACTGAGCAAGCCAGGGGAAGCAAGCCAGTAAGCAACATCTTTCCATGGTCTCTGCTTCTGTTCTTGCTTGAGTTCCTGTCCTGATTTCTCTTATAAAATGAACTATGACATGAAAGTTGTAAGTCAAATAAAC